TGTATGCTCCATCACTGATATGAGGAAAAGCTACAATAGTTATCACCTTAAGAGGCCAATAACGCTTCCATCTTTGGGCACACTCAAAAGCATGCTCATGCATTCCATAATTGTCATTGTGACTTTCTTCTGAAGCCTTAATCTGAAGTTAATAAATATTATCTTTTTGATTCTGCAGATTGAAAACCTGAAGGAAAACATGGTGTACCAGTTCCAGGTAGCTGCTGCTAACCTGGCTGGGGTTGGGACACCCTCCCAACCCAGCGAGCCCTTCAAATGTGAAGAGTGGAGCATCGCTGTACCTGGTAGGATCCTGAGTGGAACACAGCCCAAGGGTGCTCTGTGGTTGATTATCTAAGTCCTCAATGCATTTAGTTTGCAGGGAAGTCAACAGGGCGCTGAAGTTCATGCTTAGGCTTGAATGCCCATCACTTTGATTTAGTACCTTTACAGTGATGCATTACATAATTCCTATTTAATCAGTAGCATTTTACAAGCAGCTTGTATTTTCTTTATCTTTCCTGCTGGGTTTGTCTACTGTGTCTGCCAATTTACTTTCTAGTTTAAACGGTAGACATAAATACCTGTCTGAGGTACAATACAGAAGAATGAGGTCTTGTAATCCTTGTCTAAATGTTTCGCTTCAAGGCCAGATCCCTGGCCTTTTAACACTCATTGAAATGAATGAAAACAACCTCCACTGACTTCAGTGGACTTCAGAGCGGTCCTTGAAGCAGCACATTAGCTTAATAATTAACTTATTTCCCTGACTTTGGAGATTATTTGTTGATTTTGGAAGTTCATGAATATTTGATCCAGATACTCGTCTCAACCAATTGGATTGGTTTTTTTTGGAGAGTCTTTTTAATTGTCATGGGTCATATTTATATCAGGTCTAGATATGATACAGAGGAGCTGCACATGATATGTCAGTTCTGGGTACAACATGGTGTCTGGTTTTGTTTCTCAAGTCTTATGCATTAGCCCCTTTGGGATTTATTTTGATGCTACAATTCCAACTTTTACGTTTCAGGGCCACCGCATGATGTCAAATGCACAGAAGTTAGGAAGGACTCTCTGGTTTTACTGTGGAAGGAACCAGTTTATAGTGGTCGTAGTCCCATAGTTGGTTATTATGTTGACATGAAGGAAACTGAAGCAAAGGAGGAACACTGGAGAAGTGTCAATGAGAAGCCACTTCAAAAGAAATTCTTGAAGGTAAATAGCTGGAGAGTCAAATATTGGTATAATAGTACAACCTTGAGGAAGTCAGTCTTCAATAGCATCATCCGGTGCTGATGATGGTTTTGTTGAATGAAATACTTAGTAGGCCATGTTATGCTGAGGATACACACATGTAATACTGTGTAGTCAGACACGACAGTAACTCAGAAGACAGTCTGGTATGGCAAGCGTAAAAGTTAAAGAAAGCACTGCTAAAACCAAGTGCCATTCTTGTAACACAGGAGGCATCCCTAGCATTCTCTGGCTCAAAGAGCAAGATAGGTATCACTACACAAAACCAGACGGCACAAAACCAGATGTGATAATGTGGCAAGTGATTCTTTCTAATACAAAGTACCCTCACATTTCACAGCAAGTTAAACCCAAGCTTTTTCTACTATTATGCTACATAATTTTGAGGAATGACTTCTAAATAAAAAATTCAGTACCTCAGTTGTAGAGATATGTCTGAAGTAGGTTTGCTATTTGTATGCTTTTCAGAATATCTGAAAGACAATTCACTTTAAAGCGGGTTCCTTTCATATGTGTTTTAAAAGAGTATTCATATGTGATACAATGTCTGTATAATTCCTGAAGTCACTACAAATAAATCTGTGCAATTAAAGGCCCTCCTGTTTCCAAATAGGTATGGCTGGCACTTATTACCCTGATCATTTCATTTTTAAAAGCCAGCATTTGCCTGCAGTAAAACACTATGACGTTTCAGAGGTCAATGTACATGAGTCTAAAACATCCTGTACCAACAACTACGCTCCTTTTGCAAAGAAATCAATGACAGTAATGACACTGTCTGAATGTTAGCTATGCACACAAGGAAGGAGCGAGTCATACAGATGAGTCATGTCACTTGACATTGAAAAAAAATATCACTCTGAATTTGAAAGAAAAACAACAGAATTGGAAAAGAAACAAAATGAGAAGGGAAATATAATTTTCAGGTATCCAGACTGATCTTACTAAGTGTGAAACTAAAATCAGTGTTTTTGGAACACATTGTACATGTATATTTGTTTCCTCCAGATCAGTGGCCTAACACAAGGTGTGAGCTACGTCTTTCGTGTGCGGGCAACAAACCAGGCTGGTGTTGGGAAACCATCAGACGTCACAGATGCTGTTGTAGCTGAAACACGACCAGGTTTGCTAGAAATACTTTCCCTTTTTTGTCATATTTACACAGGTTCCTGTTTGTGCGATGTGTTTACATACAGGCTACATGCCAACAGTCTGACCTCTCTCAAGTCAAGCTTTCCTATGAAGCAGGATATGAGTTGAGGGTCATATCTCACTTTCCTGTCTGGTATATTTTAAGGTCAGGACAGATTTTCTTACTCTAACTACAGATTCAGGAATATAAAGATACAATACAGTTGTAAGATTTGCATGTATGTATAGGTAGATGCACAGAGGACCCAGTAAGATCAGCACAACCAAACAATGCTACAGATGTAGATTTTGCCCTTCCTATATTAAACTGGTTGTTTATACCTTATCATTCTTCTTTTCGTATGTAATGTACCTCAGGAAAGGTAAAAGAAGTAAATTTTTCCCTTTGGTCTTTAAAATAAAGACTTTCAAAGCACAATGAAGTTACTTTGGAGACCACTTTCAGTAGGAATTCAGGTGCAGCTTTTTGCTGGAGTCATCCTGGAAGGCTGGCTCCAGTGTGTCTGTAACACCAGCAAGAAACACAGGAACCAGTGCAAAGGCAGACTCTTTGTACCTGGAACTTCAGGAAACCCCTGGGATTTATTTAGCTAGACAAGTAACATAGGTGACTTTGGTCAGAGACAACACCTTTCTGTCACTAAGTTCCTAACAGAAAACACAAACATGGGCTTGTGGCTTACTCATCTATAGACTATTTTAGAAATGCATGGTCCTACAAGGTGGAAAAACAATCTCCCAGATATTTTAACTAAATCTAGTATAAGGTTAGCTTGATGTAAGAAGGTACAAGGGGTTCAACTCAACCTGGATCCACCACAGACCCTCTTTTCCTCTACAAGTTCCTTACCTCCACCTGCAGACTCTCATGTCTGATCTCACCTGTGAAGATTTCTAGGAACAGGAAGGAAGGTAAGCAGTGGGCAGACAGGAAAGAGCAGGATAGCTGTTCCTGACTGGAGAAATAGGATGTATTTGGGATGTTATTGGCTGTGAGGTGTTGAGCAGACATCACTGGCAATCATTGGTTCTTATTCCCACCTCAGGAGCATTTCCCTGGAATTCTTTCCTTGTTTCTGACCCCCAGGTTTATTTTTGCATCTTCTGTTCCCATGGCAGCATTAGTTCAGCTCTCATAGATGCCTGGTCCTTGTAATTAGAGCAGCAAAAATTCTAACAGGTTTTGAGTTAGCTCTCAGGCTGTAAGTCAAGAAAGTCTGAAAAAGGAGGCATGAAGCTGGGGGTCTAAAAGAATTTGAAAACTCAGAGGGGGGAGACTAGGTGACTGCTAGTGAGGCTGGGATGGGAAGAAGGGTCTGGAAGGAATAGGTGGTCAGTTAAAAGCATGTAAGATTGCAATAAAAGGACAAAAAAAGGCGAAGTATACAAGTAAGAAAGGTTTGGAACAGGAGCTTCGAAAAATACAGGAGTCATAATTTCAGATCTACAAGCTGCTGAAGCACCAGGGCTTTTTCCATCACCCACAAGTTGAGCGAGGCAAAATTTGGAAATTTATTCTTGAAAACAGCTCATACACAGCAACTACTTCTAAAAGGAGAATCAAACCACTATTAGTTCTAAACATTTGGCTTTACTAATCCATTTTCATTGAGGGTTAATATCTATATGTCAGACTTTTGATTAAAAGTTGTGATTATAATAGTCTTCAAGTGTACTAAATAAAGGACTAGCCATGCCATTAAAATTCAAAAAATATGAATTTAAACCCTTGTGAAGATGACTATCATGAGCAAAAAATATTGTAGACCGATTTCAATGTTCACTCTAATGAGGTGCATGTCCACCAGGCAATATGAACTTGAGCAGAACATTTGATTTACAGACCTCACCATTTGAGGAGGGTTCATAGGTGTAACATCTGGGGGATCAAGGGGAAGTCAGAATGTGATCCAGTGAAAATGATTTATTTGTACAAATCTACTTGACCCATATTTTGAGCTGAGATCTGCTGATATGGCATCCACCAAACTAAGCTTCTTAAACATCTAGAGAAAGGACAAAAAGCTTATTAAAAACAATTATTTCAGAAAGCAGTGTCTTGGGCAGGCTTCCACCTTTCTCACCCAAACCACGCAATCTCAAGATACTGTTTTTATAAAATTACCACAAATCTTTTGGTGTTGCCCAAGTAATGATGCCTATATTAACACCCTGAATGGAGACAAAAATATTGCGATGTCACTCCAGACAATTTCTGTTGGAATGCTGCTTTTGGCAAATGTGCCAATGAGCTTTCTAATCAGAGAATGTAAGCAAATAAAATCCTGAACGAAAATACTCGCTTTAATATAAATGGTACCAGTTGCCTTTATCCAATGAAATGTATAAACATAATAATGTGATACTTTGTAACCACCTTCTCTTCTTTGAAAATCACATTTAATTTTTACAGTTATCTTCTAAAATTGAACTTAAAAAACCCACCCACATAAACAAATACCAATCCAGGCTGCTTTTGAGCTGTAACTTTACTGTTAGACAAAAGCACTTTGGTGCATGTCTATCTCACAGGAAGCAGGGGAAATCCATGAGCAGACTGCAATTCTTCCCCATTGCTGTGCTCAGTTCTTGTGTATCTTGGTGCAAAGCAACATTAGATTATGATCTTGCATCAGTCACTTGAGAAAAGCACTTGAACCTCAGAAGTTAATGAAACTCTGTTCCATTCAACTTTTCTGACTGAATGTATTCCAAATGATGCCATCAGCTCTAGTCTTTTGAATGTCTGCTTTATCTTCATGTTATCTCTTTCCTTTCAATACAATAAAATGCTCAGTTAAACAGAGATTTGATATGACATCTAAGTATTTTATTTCTTATGATGACTTTAAGAGAAGCTCTTGATGATATCCTGAAACCACCAAGCTATCCAGATGAGGGAAATTAAGACTACTAGTACTATGGCAGCTTCTTTGGTTCCACTTTGCAGGATAGGTGGAGAGAGGTCTCCAAATGTGGTCAGTAATTTAGACAGATTTTTTATTTTTATTCATATACATATTAGAGGTAAATGCCATCATCACTTCTGGAAATAAATGCTATGCATTGTTATCATAATAATAACACTTTAAGACAAATAGAAAAGATTTTGTCCTTCAAGTGAACCTTATGGCTGTAATTCTTTGCACATCACATAAACTGCCATCAAAAGATTCATGTGCTAATGGTCTACGGGAAACTAAACACTAATGAAATTTCAAGTGATGAATTTTCAATATAATGAATTCAATTATTTTAAAAAATTGCAAATATGCTGCTGCCTAGTAAAATATTTGGAGACCTTAGGATTCATTTATCATATATTGGTACTTAATGTGCTTCACTACTGCAAGGGTTGGTAAACAACAGTACCAACATGGGAATATTAATCTCATCTTTCATTAAATGCTTATGGCAAATTATAAAGACTAAGAAAGCTGCATGTACACAAATTGTCATTACAGGAGCTGCTCACAGTGCTGGAAAAGACGTGAATAGTATTAGGATGATGAAACACAGGAATCTCCTTATATGCTTGAGGGTCATTAAGAATTATGCTGCAAATAGAGCATTTAATCTCAATGTCAGGAATAAGGCTCTTGTCTTTCAGGTACAATACTCTGTGGAGAAAGTGTGTCATTAGCATTCTGGGCAGCCCATAATTGTCTTAGCCCAAGTAATAGGACATGAGTGCCCTATTCAGATGCGAGATCCAGCTCAGAGCTGTTCAGAAAAGGAGGCTGGATGTTCTCCAGCACCTCTCAGTGCACATGCTCTCCCTGACATTCTCAGACAAGTTGTTGAAATGAATGTTAACACCACAGATGACGAGCTTGCCAAGTCACCCAAATCCCAGATGAAATTCCCTTAGCTTCGCTGGGGTGCAAGGGAGCAGGATAGAGGTGCCTTCAGGTTTCTGACCTGCAATTCACCCCCAGGGCCTTTTAAGGGACAAACTGGGTCACTTTATCCAGCTCAAGGATTGTGGGTACTGGCAAAACAGGGTGGGCAACTTAAGCAGCTAATTGCAAATATTCACTCCCTTTGTGGGCCCAGGATTAATGGTGCAGACGGTGGCAGGGCTGGAGGCCAAGCACAGCAATTAAACCAACCTCCCGGAGTGAAGCCAGTGCTGCTGAAAATGTGCCTCAGCCGCACAAATGTGCACAGCTCGGGCAGCTCCACTGTTTGCTCTTCTGCCTCCTGCACCTCTTCAAATGCCCACATTAGCACGAGTTATTCCCTTTATAGCTCTTATCTTATTAGGGAACATGAAATTCATGCTGCATAATGAAAGTTCTAACTACCCCTTACCGGGGAAAATATTGCTATTTAAAACTTCAAGCATTTAAGGGATGTAGAGACTTGCTTTTTTCCACTCCTTCAGGATTTTTCATAGCAAATATGATAACACTCATGTGTGCTTAGATGCTCAGACTTGCTCAATAAGTCAGTTAATTTATGATGCTTTTTAATCTCTGGATTAGAAAAAGAACTGTTCTTGTGAATCAAAGACCAAGCATACCAATGAGTGCAGCAATTTATGTGCCAGCTGAGAAAATGTCAAGGATCTGCTTAATCCACCATATGAATGATATCTCTATTTTTTTGCTTGCTGGTTTCTCTGAGAAATTTGAATTGCCTTGTTCTGCTCTTTAAGGAACCAAGGAAGTGGTGGTTGATGTAGATGACAATGGAGTAATTTCCTTGAACTTTGAATGTGATCAGATGTCTCCAGACTCAAAGTTTGTTTGGTCCAAGAATTACGAACCAATTGAGGATGACTCTCGCCTGACCATCGATACCAAAGGCGGAAAGTAAGAATGCTTGGGGGTAGCAATAGTCTTGTATTTAAGTGACCTAGACTGTCACAGAAATCCATCCTTTCGGATGTATGACCTCAGTAAGTGTTCCATCTGCCTCTGTTACTGGAAGGCTACTTCCTGAGTATGCCATTCTCCAGCAAGTCCATACACAGACCGTTTGGAAATTGTAGCTCGCACAGAATGAGTCAGAGCTCCTCTTTAGGCAATTTAGTTAGGTTTAGGCATGGGGAGAGAACATCTCTGCTCTGTCATCTTATAACCTAACAATCAAGGTAGATTATTATTATTATTATTCCTATTGCTGTTATTAAAAACAAATAATAACATTATCCGGCTGCTTGCAAAATACTTTTGTCATGCAACACAGCTGTAATCTTTGGAGGTGCTGGAGTAAGCAGGGCTTTCTTCTGATGGCATCATCATGGCCTGATCCAGTAACCTATATAATGGTCTCCAAACCTACTCTGTTTCTTCAGGCTTTTCACAGAGGAATGCACAGGTTCAGTCCATGAAGGGCATATGTGCTCTTCTAGTGATAGAAGCCATACTGAAAGAAACATTGGGTCACCACAGTCATGGTGTTGCATATGGAAGCTGAATCAGCCTGTAGTTACAGTATCCTTCCATGTTCATCAAAAGACTTGTCAACACTGTTTTTTTGGTGCCATCTCCGTTTGTACCACACGTCGTTGGACTTACCCTGGTTTATACTGGCCAGAGTTGCCCATTTGCCTGTTCAGTCAGAGCAAAAGCTAATACAAGGCTATTTTTATCTGGTGTAATAAAGGAGTTTGGTTCAGACTGATCTCACCATTTTATCAAAATGCCCTTTTTCCTCCTAAAGGTCAAAAGTTTCCTTTAAGGATCTTGGAGAAGATGATTTGGGAATTTACTCTTGCATTGTAACAGACACTGATGGAGTTTCATCAAGTCACACAATTGATGAGGAAGGTAGGCACAGTGCCTATTAAGCATGCCTGGTTTGCTTTCACATGTTTTTCCCTGCTGCTGTGTCTCTCAGATCCATAACACATGCACACACCTCATACTACTTCTTTTATGTCTTTTGCAGAAATGAAACGCCTTCTTGCTCTGAGCCATGAACGCAAATTCCCAAGTAAGTGAATCAAACGTGTCTGTAGGGGAGTTTTGCATGCAGTGGGGTATCACAAGCCTGAGCTAGTTGAAGATGTCCCTGCTCACTGTGGGGGTTTCAGATGAGATGACCTTTAAAGGTCCTTTCCAACCCAAACCATTCTATGATTCTATGATCACAAAGCTTCTGCCACCACCAAGTAGGGAGGTCACTATAGTAATTCAAAGTGAAAGTGGTTTTGAATTGAAAAATCTAAGATTCATTTATTTTTTTAACTTTCTTTCAGTACATTTGTGTATTACTGATGCTCTTTCTGTTGCAGGCTGCTGGTCTAGGCATATAATAAATCTATATAACAGTTGGAAAAAAAGTATCACATTGGCTATGTTTCTTCTGCAGAACAGGCTTTTATATTTACTCAGTATACCTAATCTGATTTGAAAACCAGAATTTGAAAAATTTCCTAACTTTGTTCCAACAGAAGTTAACATAACTTATACTTAAGGTTAGCAAAGTAGGCAAGTGTACTAAATTCAGCTGTAATGGTCTATACATACAGAATTTTCC